ATTATTATTATTATTATTATTATCCGCTTTTTTTTTCATTTCCAATCTTGGAATTTTAATCATTTTCCTTTATTCGCATGCAATTTTAGCAACAAAATTCTAATTAATATATTAGATGTTCGAAAGTAATAAATCTTGACAATTTTGATCCTTTTGCAAAATTAAAAACAAACAATCAAAGTACACTTTTTGTTTTTTCGTTGTAATAAAAAATCAAAAAATCAAAAGTCAAAAATGAATTAGAAAAGTTGCTATCATTATCTGTTAGCTTACAAAATATGTTTAACAAAATTTTTATAAGTCTATCTATCTTTCAACTAAGCTCTTCTCTTTTTTTTTTTCATCATCATTCTCTCTTTTGCTTCATCAATCCTTAAATGCTTCCGACATTTTCTTTTTCTTTTTCTTTTGCAAGTTTTGTTATCTGCAAAAGTTATCGCAGCTTTTTTTAACTGATTGGAATTCTTTTTTTTTGGCTACCTTGGAGAAGTAAAAGTTGCAAATTTAGGGATAAATTCGGCATTAAGCTTCTCTATTTTACAATCATATTATCAGCATTACAGAAAAGAAGGGCAAAAAAAAGAACGAAAGAAGAAATTGTTGAAAAAAAAATGTCGCAAAAATTTAAAATTTTATTTTTGAATTTTGAAATTTACTGATTTTGAAAAAAAAAATGAAATTGGAGTTAGAAAAAAAATCTCGTTTTTAATCAACTTTTTTTTTTTTTTGCAGGAGGTTATATTGGAAAAATCAAAAAGTTGTCCACGTTTGGGCTTAAAATTATATTACAATACTGCAAACGAGAATGATACTGATGTATTCATTGGCGAGGTTACTTCATATTTATTATTTTTTATAGATAAGCTAAATGACAAGTAGTATTTGAAACTGATATTATCTTCTAAAATTTAAATAAATTTTCAATGCTTCATCAATAAGCGATTATTTAAAATATGTTATTTCATATTTATTTTCACATATTACGGTATACTATTTGCACACTAAAGAATGATATGTTGCTAAAAAAAAAAAAATTAGCTAAAAAATTTTTCTTGATTATTTAGAATTTTTCTTTGTTGAAAAGATAAGGAATTGCTATCGATTATCGATAAGGCAATTAACCTTTGGACTATTAAGTACTATTAGATACAAATGCTCATTATAAATTAAATAGCATAAATTTTGCAGGTTGAATGTGGAAGTGTTGCAGATCGTGATGGACGTCTCAGGCCCGGTGATCAAATATTACAAGTGTGTATTTGTCTTTATTATTTCAGAAGAGAAACGAATTAATTTTTTACTATTTCCTTTTTTTCTAAAAGAAAGAAATGAAAATGCTAAAGAATTTTTTCATGTTTTTTTTTAATCTTTGAAATTAGCATAATTAATTTAAATACTGCATTATTATAGGTAAACGGTGAAACAATTTATAGTCGTGCCAGTGCTGTAAAACAATTTCGTAACAGCGGTAATGAAATATCTTTATTACTTGCCCGCTCCATTCAGGTTACTTTCATTATTTCATTAATTATTTGTGATTATTAATAGCAAGAACGTTTCTTTTTAAAATTAATTTTATCAAGTAAATATGATAATTATAATATTTGTAACATAAAGTTTAAGTTACCAACAATAATAGGTGAATAAGTGAGGGAATTTAAGAATCTGCTATTTTTAATTTTAATTTTAATTAATTTATTTTTTGCTATTTAGAATGAAGAATTTGATTTGTTATTGGAACCAACAGGTGATGGTTGTAATGATAATGAAAAAGATGCACCCAACGATGTTAATTCCAGTAATTCTACCCTTGAAAAGGTTTAATTATTATTTTCTAATATTTCATGTTTTTCATGATAATAAATTTCAGGATTACTTAACAAAGGCGATATTCTTGAAATCCTTATCTGGAAAATCAGTTTCCATTTTTTTTCTTGTTAAGTGATTCTGAAATTTGTATTATATAGAAAATTTTTAAAAAAAGTGAAAATGAACAGAGAAAGGTATTATAAAATCAAAATTTTAAAACAGACGAAAGTTTGTTGGATTATATTTTTTGATATTCTGTAATGTTTGATCTATTCATATAATACGATAAATAATTGATCCATTTGATATTTATGAATTAGTTGTTATGTTATCAACTAAATACATTATAAATTGTTTTAGGATTCTGGATTATCACGAATGACTGATTCGGATGCCGAATTGTTACCTGCACCAATATCAAGCAGTTTAAATCAATCAATGGACTCATTGAATGATTTACCAGAAGTAACTGATTGTAGTTTGAGAAGGTTTGATTAAAATGATTTGAATTTCCAAGATTTACATGTATGAAGTTTAACAATTTTAAATTTTTTTCTAAGCTTTGAAATTTAACTTTGAATTTTTATATGAATTGAATTTGAATTTAAACAAATATTTTATTTTTAGATGCGCAAGTGATTGTTCATTAGAACGAGAATTAGCATCGTTACATCGAGAAATGGAAACTATACGCATGGAATGTGATAGGCTTATTTTAAAACATAGTGATAGTGGACGTAGTTTTGCTAAGGTAAATTCTTCCCATTCATAAATAAGTTATTTTTTCTTTTTTTTGTAAATCAATAGAATTTTAGTGATATAATTGATAATTAGTAAAAATGAAGTTAGATAAGATTAAATTTACGACAAACATAGAGGAATATTACAACGCAATTATGATTTATTTTCAAATTTCAAATCGATTTTTTTAAACTATGAATTGCTTGAAATTTTAATTAAAATTATGAATTATTCGAAGATTTAGTTTGTGAGAAAAAAAACACACACACACATTTCATTGTTGTGTAAGGTAAAATTTAATTAAGTAATTAACTAATTTAGCAATTGGCTAATTAAATGTTTGCAATTAATTAAATTTCCAGATGTTACATGTAGCGGACAATGATGCCAATGTTTATCAATTAAACGATGATGTAAAACGACGATTGGATGATACATCAAGTGCTTACAATACTGGTGAATCATGTCGCAGTACACCATTGAAACCGGATGCTGTTGCACAAACTAAAAAGTAAATTTATTTAAATTTAATTCATTTCTAACATTTTTTTTGTGATCGATCTAAATTCTAATAAATTTTCACTAATTGGTTTGCTAACATATTACTAATATTTACAGGTAAAATTATTGGTTAATAAAAAAAAAAAACCTTTTAAAACAAAATATTTCATTAAAGGTTAGTAGGAACGAAAATTTGACTAGTCGCTGATCATTTTACTTCAATTTGTACATATATAAATGTAAAATGTAATTCTAATAAATAATTAAAATTTGTTGAAAATTTTAAATATTTTCAAACATTCAAATATCATTGTCAATTTTCAGAAGCAGTAATAGCATGCAATCGCGTAAATGTACAACATTAGGTGAATCAGTTAGTGATACAGTTCGATGTATAGCATCACAGAAGCCATCTACTTCACAAATTTCACAAGTTAAATTTAGGTAATTTTTAACTTTACAAATCAAATTTAGATCATTTTCTATTTTATACTAATTACTCAGAAAAAAAAAAAGGCATGAGGGTAAGGATTTTAAAGTTTGTAATCGATAAAAAAAAATGCTTGATTAATATGATTCTGGGATATGGGGATTCCAAAAATAATCATTTCTTTTTCATAAATTTCGTTAATTTCAGGTTACCGCAATATTCGGTTATTTTAAGAGAAAATGGAAAAAAAGGACATGTTACAACAAAAGCAAATGAGGAAGCACAACAAATCCGAACGAATGACAGAAGAAGACCAATGGCAACACAAATGGTTAATGAAACTTATAGGCCACAAAGGTAAGATATAGGATTTCAATTTTTTTTTTAAAAGTCTTTTTTAAAAATATATATGTACATGAAATGTTCAAGTAATCGGAGAATAATGAACTTGTCTTTTAATTTTGATAAGATGAATCATGATGAAAGTATGAATCATCGGAATGTATCATTTTATAGGGTTATTGTTTGAGAATTCTCGAATGGCATTTTCATTATTTGTACTGTATCATCGAATTTTTCAATTAATTAACTCATATTTTCTTATTAATTTGAAACAAAGAAAAGGAGAAGAGAGAAGAAAGAGAGAGGAAAAAAAGGAGTATATGGAAGTGAGAAAAGAAGAACAAGACTCATAAAATAATAGCAAAATAAATATGTTAAAAGAAAAAAAGGAATTTGATTAATTGATTAATTAATTAATTGATATTATAATAATTATTTTTTATTTGTTTAAAAATGATAGAGCTGGCATAACAATGTATACGATGCCACAAAAATTAGCGGAAACAATAGCTCTGCAACAGCGATTATTACGTGAAGCAATGGTTGAACAAGCGCATATGTTACGAACATCAGCTAAAAGTGGCGCAATAAATGCTATAACTAATAATCAAAATAATGATGAAAGACGAGATGGAGAAACAGGAAGAATGGATGGATCATCAACAATGAAACAATTTCAGGATAATAAAATTTCGGGACCATGCGAATGGAAGGTTGAAATTTGTTCGTTTCATTTTCAGGAATGCTAATTAGTAACTAAATTATATATGTATGCATTATTAAATATGGAAAAATCTTTTTTTTTTCTTCCATAATTATCTACAAATTACGAACCATATAGATATTACTTGTAATTTAGGGATTTCAAAATACAATAAAACAAAAAAAAACCGGAAAAGATCGATTAATTAAATTTTAATTAATGTAATTTTGAAAATTTCATACTTCATGTATAGCAATATTGAGACTGTTACATTATAGATTATTTAATGCTAACTTCCAATTTACAGAGCTTTTTTTTTCCAGTTATAAATTTTGCTAATTTCACCATTTCCGGTTCATTTTACTATTATCATATTGCTAAGGTTGGTTACTGTTGCTGGAAATAGTTCAAAAAAAAAAAATGGCCATTTACAGTTTCCATTTTATTTATAGTACTATTTGAGAAAGCATTTCCTGAAAGATAATGAATAGGAGTAAGAATATTCTGAAAAAAAAAAAAAATGAAATAAAATATATAAATGAAATGAATGAATACTAGTAAAAGCTTAAGAAGTTTTGTCGTAGAATATCAAAATTTGTTAAAGTTTGTCCTTTTTTTTGTTTTGAAGAATCATCTGAATAGACAATATTTTTCAAATTTTTCAAAAAAAAAATTATGTTATATTGATTGAAAATAAAATAATTAAAACTGATCTGATTTATGAGAAAATAAATTGTGTTGTTGATATAGTTGAAGTTGAGAAAATTAAAATTTGATCCATTTCTCGTTCTCATCTAATTCAGTTTAATTATGATTGTTGTATTAAGCAACAGTAATAACAATATAGTGGTATTTCAAAAGTTATTAGAGTAGAATATTAATGTGATTTCACAGTTGATATTATTGTCATATTTGAGCGTATAAAATTATGAATTAAATGATTTGAGCTGATAAATTAAATGAGAAAAAAAAATTGAAAGCAGTCATATTTGATTTGCTAAAATTGAAATTATTAAAATAACGAGTGAAAATTATCAGTAAAATTTGGCTTCTGTATTATCACCATTTAAAACATTTTCAAAAAAAGTCTTACGAAATTTGTAAAAGCTTGACCTTATCATGCTTGACATTTGATTAATGTTATCGTTACTTATTGAATTTAGACAAAGATGATGTTTCAGATTAAAAGACGTCCAGATGGGACACGATATGTCACCAGGAAGCCAATTCGAAATAAATTACTGAAAGAACGAGAAGAGCAATTAAACAAAGTGAATTGCTTTTTTCTTTTTTTTTTTTTTTTCTTGAGGGAGG